TCATATTTACAAGGTTCTCTGGTTACAGTTTAGAGTCTTGGTTCCAAAGGACGTAGAGCCTCTTCTAGTATTGTTCATCAGTTTCTGCTTGCTACTTAGAAACAGGAAGGCTTTATTAAAAGCTAATGGCGGGGGCCGGCGAGATAGCTCAGCAGACTAAAGTGCCTGCTCAGGCAAGCTTAGGCAAGCACAGGGTCTGTCGTTCAATCCCAGCACCACGTGCTGCACCAGCACCGCCCCCCGGGTGGGCTGAGCTGGCCACAGAGTATGGGCGTGGTGGTGTGCCTGTAATCCCAGTGCTGGGAAGGCTGAAAACAGGAGGATCACTACAAGTGAGCCCTTATATCAACCAAATACATTTAAAAAAAAAAAAAAAGCAAATGTCTACATGGAACATATAATCCTCTGAGTGACTTAAGACCTATCAAATTTTAAAATGAGAATTCTAAAAAGATAGTGAAGTTTCCACACAGGAGGCGTCTGTGTGTGTGTGTGTGTGTGTGTGTGTGTGTGTACGCGCGCACAGGGTCTCACTAGACAGCTCGGACTTGTAGTGATCCTCCTGTTTCCAGCCTCCCCAGTGCTGAGATTATAGGCATGCGCCACCACACCCCCAATAGACTTTTTAAAAATTCTTCAGATTCCTTTACAAACAATACTTAGATACAAATGCAAAAATTTCTTGGAAATATTTGTGATGAAGCTAGGGAAAGAAGTGTCACCATAGATTTCAGAGCACTGGCAGGAGACAGCCATGTAATGTAGAAGATCAGGGAACGAAAAAGCCCCCAAAGAGCCAAGATCTTCACTGGAAGCATCTAAGGAGCCAACGTGACCCAGGGGAGAAGAATGAGGAAATTTGAAAACGCTTCACAAAAAGCTACAACAGTGACCTCTGTTGTGGCAACTCTTTGTGCACTCAATGCCAACAAGATTTATTTGGGCTTGGTTTCAATAAATAAGAGACACAAACTAAATATGTGAATGGTCATCTCGCTATGATAGCTTCTGAGGTGCTTTAGAGTACGCTAATTCCACTTCATCTTGGAAGCCCAATCCTACTGGGCTGTTGGAAGGTGAACTCTTATGCTTTGAGGTTCTGGTAGGAACCAGATATCTTTAGGAAAAGTAGCACAGCTGGCAGCTCAGCTCATCACTAGCTTACTGAGTCCCAAATTTAGGGTCTTTGGGGGTTCATCCCTCTGCTGTTTTCTAAGATAGGACTTTGGCAAAGATCCGGCCTCCTGGAGGTATATGCTATAAGAAAGGGTGCTGCCGATATGTCCTTGCTGTGTCTGGAATCGCAGATCTTTCTAGTTTGGGAAAATAGGCTCTTTTCAAATCTGAGTCTTCCATTATCCTCAAAACCTGTTCTTTGTTGAGAAAAAAGGCAGGGAAATCCAGCTACAAACCTCCTCTGGGGCAAAGACAGAATCAGCTAGAATGGAAAAGGGTAAGGAGGGAAAAAGAGAACGTAAACATATACCACAAGAGTTTTTCTCAGAAGTTTTTCCTCTCTCTGTCTCTGTCAGTCTGTCTGTCTGCCAGTCTCTCTACCAGGAACTGAACTCAGGACCTTGTGCTTGCCAGGCAGGCACTCGTGCCACTAAGCTATATTCTTGGCTCTCTCAGAAGCTTTATTCTAAAATGAAATTCCTTTCACTGTGATGCTCATTCTAAAGTCGAGACCACCAAGACATTGGCATAAGGACCAACACACACACAACTAGTTAATGACCAGCCTAGCTCTTGCTACTATATTATAGTACCTCTTCATTTTTCTAATTTCCAACCTCTGTTCTAGTCTGAATCTGCCTTGTTCACTGAGACTTAAGTTTCTGCACCCAGAGTTTTAGACATATTCAGAAACTTTAAAAAAAATGTATTTAGTACAGAGTCTACAGGGTCTATGTAGAAGGGACTCATAGTGATCTTCCTGTTTTCAGCCTCCAAAGAACTGGGTTTACAGGCATGTGCCACTCTGCCCAGTCTCAAGTGCTGTCTCAGCATGCCCTGGGGGTAGGGCTGGCATGGCACACCGGGGATCAAACCCGGTCGCTGTGCTCTGCCTAAGCAGGTGCTTTAGTCTGCTGAGCTATCTGGCCGGCCCTCAGAAACATTTTTTAAACATGTTGATTCACTCAGAATTGACTTGCTTGTGATATCAATTATTCCATCCTGGGGCATGACCAACTGGATAAGGACTCAGGAATAATGCATACGATGTTCCACTTTGCCTGACAAAGCCCCAGGCTCCAGCCACCTTCCCTGGAAACCGCTAGGATGACCTTTGGAGACCTGATTCTTCCTGTGGTAATAATATACAGGTACTGGGTGTTTGGGATGGTCAAGCCTTTGGTCTTTCTCATCATCAGCTGGCAAAGCCATGTGTTTCTCCCATAGTCTCTGTCTGATAGCTGCGTCTCATTTTGAGAATAATCATAATTGCAGCAACATGTTCCAATGCCAAGCACAGAAAGGCCCCGGGCTTTCTAGTTGTGTCATATACGATAGGCCTGGTCTAAAACTTTCTCATCCTCTTTCTTCTAATAATGAACTTCAAGAGAACAGGATGTATCATTGAGATTTCTAATCTAGGCACGCAATACAGGTATTGGCTAACTTGGCTAGACATAATCACCTGCTTTTTCTTCAGCCACTCTGGCAGAAAAAAGTTGGATTCTTTTGGGAGTCGCATGAACCCTTCCAACATTTTTCTTTTCAGTCCATTAATCAAGAGTAGAACAGCCAAGGGACCACAATATTTCATTATATCACAAAAAGGCCTGTGCCTGTGAGTAGGAATACATTTCTATCACCCCCGTTCTGATTGATTAGCACTGAATTCATTGCTAACTAACGATTACCAGTCCCTGAATCCACAAATGACTAAGTGGATGAATAAGAATCTGTGCACACAGATTCCTCTTGCAGTGGAGGGCAGAGGTGTGGCCATGGGGAGGGAGAGGAATGAAACATGAGATCTGACTACAGAAGTGGAGAGAATACCTCTGCGGAAAGGGACCCCAGCTGCCTCGGGCCTTCCCTTCTGCACGCTGTTGCTGCCACCCCTCTGCACTCACCACCTCTCTACAGGTTCCTGTGACCTTGTCACCCACAGTTCCTGTCTTCTCCATCCACAACCCCTCCTCCCAGGTTTTGCTGCCTTCTCAAATGACTGAACCACCTCTCTTTCACTACTCTAGTTCTTCAACTCGACCCAATGACTCCACTCCCTGTGTATTCCGAGTCATTCTTTTTCTGGCTCCCAGGGCCAGGAATGTTCATGTGTGCAAAGACAACATTCTGCTTACACATGAGTTAGATGATCTTTCCAGAACATTCAGTGTACTCTATTAATCCTGGACACAGAGGATTAGAAGGCTATTAGAATGGCAAGAATGCTTGGACAGTATCATTTAAATATTGCTTTTCTGTTTGGAGTTCTTTTGAGACATATCCAAATAACTAATGGCAAAGATTGTTTTGAAGTTTTAAGTCAGCTCTGCTGTCAGCACTGTTGAATGTCAAGTCTTGGCTGTTTTCCACTCATAGAAGATGCTTCCTAAGGATACACTTTGGTGAAGTCTCTTTAGAACCCATCTATGCCAGACCAAAGCTTGATTAAAATTCTTGCTGTCTCCTCTTTTTGGTTCTGTGTTTCCACTTGTTGGAAATATAACTGCTTGTCGATATTCGATAGAATTGTGCCTTCTGGATACTACAAACTCAGCGTTTCACTTCAAGAATGCCAGCACTTATAATTCTTTTTTTTTTTAAGATTTTTTTTTTAAAGTTTATGTATTTATTTAGAGTGTGTGTGTGTGTGTGTGTGTGTGTGGCCAGCTCAGCCCACCAGGGGGCGGGGCTGGCTGGCATGTGGTGCTGGGGGATTGAACCGCGGTCCCTGCGCTTTGCTAAAGCTTGTTCTAAGTAGGTGCCTTAGACCACTGAGCCATCCCACCAGCCCAGCACTTATAATTCTTAAGCCGGAACTTTGCAAGAACTGGAAGTTATTGAATTACATTGCATTTTAAAGTAGAAATGGCAAAATTACGTAGCTAGAGATTTCTGTAAAGTAGGATTGGCAATACCATTACTCACGCTTTTATTGATGTATCTCTGCTCCCCATGGGCTCCTCCTTACTTTGCCTGTGCATAGTTTCTGATCCATTCTCCAACTTCAAGCCACTTATTTTTTTGCCCTAGAAATTCTGAATGATTACCATGATACAGAAATTTACAGGAGTTTAAATTGAAGGAAAATGTTTTGAAACTCAGGTAGACATATTCTTTTTTTAAAAAACTGTTTCAAGAATGTTTTATTTATTTGGTACAGGGTCTCACTACGCAGTTCAGACTCATAGTGATCCTCCTGTCTCAGTCTCCCCACCACTGGGATTACAGGGGTGTGCCACTATGCCCAGTTTCAGTAGCTGGCATGGCCCACCCAGGGTTCCAGGGCCAGCACAGCATGAGGTACAGGGATCGAACCTGGGTCCTAGTGCTTGCCAGGCAGGTGCTTAGACTGCTGAGCTACCTTCCCAGCCCCATAAATTATTCTTATTAATAATTATGAAGAAATTATTAAGAAGAAAAGACTTTTAGTTGCAACATCTCTTACTGTAAAGTTTTTGAATTTTCTAGATATGACTTGTAAAGACTCATGAATTAAAAGTTCACAAGGAAAGTTTTGGTGAAAACTTTTGAGCGCAAAATCACAAAAGCAATTAGATGATCTGCTCTAGAAAGCACCTACTACCTGAACTGAGCAAAGGAAGCACACTAAACTTGTGGAAATCAAACACGTATATGTGTTGTTTAGCTTTGGTACTAAGTTCTTTTTATTTGCCTATGAAGTTGCCTATAGAACCCATTATCCTGAGGCCACACCATTTTTACTGGAGATATCAATAACTCGATGCTGGTAATGCAGTACAGAGGGCGCTGGGCAGGGACCTGCTGGCTTGGGCTCTACACTTATGCTGCTACATACGTACCCCATTTATGACTGCGGTTGTGTCTTATTGACACTCTGGACCTCTGGCCAACAAGAATAAGAAGTACCCCATCTCCTTGCCTCTTAATCGTTCTGAGGATCAGATAAGGTCTGAGTTGTAAGAACCCTTTGAAACTTTCAGGTGCTATAAACTATAACAATTCTATTCATTATTACCTCAGGCTGCCTCTTGGATCCCATTGCCTCAGATTTATTATTTAGGAAAAGTACAAACTTGAATGCCATATGGAGTCCTTGTTGACACTGCAGATGTTGGTTAATTTTAGATTCCAAAAGAACAAAAGAATAGAAACACTACCAGGCAAATCAGCCTCTCTTTAGCTTTTTCTTCGAAGTCTCCTATTATCCAAATAACAAACTAAAAATGGCAGGCTAAATATTATAGAAAATTACATCATTTGAGGCATTGAAATTCTGTATATCCAAGCCCTTTTGCAGAACATGAGTTTATTCCCCCCCAAAGCACACTGCCAATGAATGTAATGCTATAAGATTAATTTTTTTGCAGAATAAGTGAAAATATATAAAAATTAAACTTTAATTTTGAATAACAGAGTCAGGGGAAACGTTAAAGTCTCAGAAGAACCACAAAAAGATATGCAATCCATGTAGATGTCCAGAGTCTTTCCTGAACTAATAGGAAAAGGAGCCACAAGCTCAGCAAATCTTGGGATCCGATTCTGAAGATCTGGTCATATTTGCAAGAGGGAATTTCTTTGCAAACAAACAGGTGTGACAAATGTACACAGGCTCATGACAACTGCTTTTATGGTCCCCATCATTTGGAAGACCTGTTCTGCTCTCATGTGCCACCTGTACAGGACATCTCTTCATCTTGTCATATCCCTCTTTGCTTACACAGGCATAAACAAGAGGTAGAAGTTTCTGTAAAATATATAGATGACATCTGTCACTTTATCTCTTGTTTGCATGCCACCCACTCAAAGAATGTATCCTAGAACCAGCTGAGCATTTTGTGTCTTAAAATAAAAAAAAATTATGGAAGCAATGAAACAAAGGATATTCCATGTCCTTCCATTGTTCCATAATGGATACAGGGTAACAAAAGAAATCTCATGGCAATTAGATTACCTAAAGCAGTTTAAAATGGTCCAGTTGGTATTCTGAGTGCTTCCTTTTTTTTTGGGGGGGGGGTAACCAGGAATTAAAGGTGCTTAGGACCTTGCACTTGCTAGGTAGGCACTTGTACTGCTGAGCTACATCCTCAGCCCTGGAGCCTATACTTTTAATGCCATTTTTTTAGAGAATAATTCCATTTCAAGACTACCACATACCTCTTAGGTATTAAGACAGTGACAGAGCATCACTCTAATTAAAAGTTAATTTTCAAACAGCAGCTATAAATGTTTTGCCTATAAAGACTTGTTCTTCAGCAAGGCATAATGACACATGCAGGTAATCCCAGTGTTCCAGGAGGCTGAAGTGGGAGAATCTCAAGTTCAAGCAGGGCCTAGGCAATTTAGTGACAGTGAGATTCTGTCTCAAAATAAATATATAAAAAAGGGGTGGGGGCCAGTGAGATAGCTCTGCAATCTAAAGCGCCTGCTTAGGCAAGCTTAGGCAGCACAGGGGACAAAGGGTCCATCCTTAGCACTACATGCTGCACTAGCCTCGCCCCAAGGTGGGCTGAGCTGGCCCAGAAAACAACAACAACAAAAAAGAGACAGGAATATAGCTCATTGTGAAGGCCTTGGGTTCAATCCCCAATGCTGCTACAGAACAAATAAGCAAACCAGAAAACAAGCACCTTGTTTGTCTGAAAGAGCTAAGAATTGCAGAAGCTATTTTCACCAGTGCTTCAGTGATGCAGTGGATGCTACATTGTGATAGCTAACTGACTGACGGTGTCAACTTGAATAAGAAACGCCCAACTAGATCGACTCAGAGTAGTTCCAGGTGTGGAAGGCCCACCCCAGGGGCACTGTGCCAGAACAGTCTCAGGGACAAATGAAGGAGGAAGGCAGGCCAGTGCTTCTGGTTTTGTTGGGAGGAGCTCTGTCTTCACCTTCACTTTTTTTTCTTTTTAGTATTGGGGATTGAACTCAGGACCCTGCGCTTGCCAGGCAAGCTCTTATTTTACTGCGCTATCTCCCCAGCCCTCTCCCTTCACCTTCACTTTGGATGTCACCTTCAGCCCTCCTCCTAGATGCTTCAGCCTCTAGTGTGGACCATTGGCCTCCTCAGAGGGACTCACACAGGATAGGACAGTAAGGGGCACTCCAGGCCGTGACTGGGTCCTTCAGATCGCCAGCACTCAGGCATACCTTTCACACACCTGACTCTGTGAGCAGCCATTGTAAGCCAATCTTTATTTCTTTTGTAAACACAGATACAAATATATTTCAAAGTTTCTTCTCATGTGGATTAGAAATATTAAAAGCAAATCCTAAGGTTAGGTTATATGGATTGCTTGTTTTGGATGAAGTCTAGACTTTTTAGCATTAAGGAAATATTATTAACTAGCCGCTTGCAGTCTAGCTCATTGGGTACCTCTTGGTACAAAAGGCCTAAGAAGATGATGCAACTTTGTTGTGTCGCATAATTTTCTCAAGCTAAAACAAAACTTTTTTTTTTTTTTTCCTTTTTAGTAGAGGGTCTACAGGGGCTCGCTACACATATCAGACTCATAGTGATCCTTCCTGTTTTCAGCCTCCCAAGCACTGGGATTACAGAAGCACCACCACGCCCAGTGTCAGTGGTGACCCAGGGGCGGGGCCGGCACAGCAGGCTGGGGATTGAGCCCCAGTCCTTGTGTCTGCCTGGCAGGTATTTTAGTCTGCTGAGCTATCTGGCCAACCCCTAAAACAAAACTTAAACCTAAATATTTTTCCTGGGTGAGCTCCGGATCAGTCCAGATGGACACAGGTTTAAACAAGAAATGGATTCAAATAGCTTCACTCACTAGTGAAAGTGAACAGGAATTGACCCCTTGACACAGGGCCTTGCTCCTTCAGGTTCAGTGGATTTAAGCACAGCTCCAGGGAGTGCTTGGGGAGGAGGGCTCCGGCATGGTGGCCAGGCCATGGGAATCTGCTATGGTAGCCCTGATCTACCAAGAATAGAGGAGTCTGAGGAGAACTCTCAATTTCAAACCACAAGGATAACATAATTTTAGTGTGAAGGTACAGAATTAATTAAAATTGTCTGTAATTTAACTTCACTTAATCCAAAAGGTAACCTTACTGGCCTACAAAATTGAATAATTGAAATTATCTGGTTTAGGTAAAGCTTAATTCAAGTCTCAAATAGGGTGACTCAGGACATGATTTTTCCCTCTGCACTTTTCAGCTCAGCATGTTTAATACTGATTCTGTTGAACATTTATTTATTTATTTATTTATTTATTTATGCAGCACCAGGGATTGAACTCATGACTTTCTGAGCTATCTCCCTGGCCCAAGAAATCCAGTTCTTTTTTTTTTTTTTTTTGACTGGGGATTGAACTCAGGACCTTGCACTTGCCAGGAAGGCACTTATGCCACTGAGTTATCTCCCCAGCCATAGACATTTCTTTATTAAGCATCTTCAATATTAGTCTATTCTGTGTGTGTGTGTGTGTGTGTGTGTGTGTGTGTATTACTGTGTTCACAGCTACACCCTCAACCCCCCTTTAAGTTTTTTTTTTTGAGACAGGGTCTCACAAAGTTGCTAAATATACAGACTGGGCTCACACTTGCAGTCTTCCTGCCCCAGAGTGCTGGATTACAGGTGTGTCCTCATCCCCAAATAGCTCCATTCTTAAGCAAACTCTCCCTCTGTGTGACTGAAATGGACACTCCAGGAACCGTTTGTGTCTAAACCCAAATCCAGGGCCGGGGAGATGGCTCAGTGGAATAAGCGCTTCCCTGGCAAATGCAAGGGTCTGAGTTCAATCCCCGGTTCCGCAAAAAAAAAAAAAAAAAAAAGAAAGAAAAATTCACATTGCCTGTAAACCTAAATCAAGAGACAACATTTTCTAGTAGGTTTAGGAACAATTACTGAGGACAAAATAACAGGAGTTGCTAGAAGGTCTGGACTTTGGTTACATGCCCCACCCTCGGGCACAGAGATGGGGTAGGGGTGTCACTGCCTCCCCAAGGCAGTGGGCTAAGCGTAAAGGAGGGCATCAGTTCCCTAAAGAAAGTGAGAGAGTAATCACTGGGCAGATATCCTTGACAGACACTCAGACCCGGAGCACAAAAATTTCAAGAATTATTTTTCCCCTTAGAAAGAATTCTTGTTGCACAGTATCTAAGATTAGAGTCCACATCTTGGCAAATGAGAGAGAAAAATGGCCAAAATTGAGACTGTGGACTCTTTCAGTGAGATTTTTTAAAAATGGAAGACAGTTTCAACCAGAGCTAGGACTTGGTACTGTTCCGAGTATAAACAGTTGCCCAATCTGTAGATTTGGTGAGGACAAGTAAAAGCTTTCTATAGAGCACATGGAGCACACAAACTAAAAGCCTGTTTCCCAAAAGCAGCTATGTGAAACTGAAACTCATGTCTTTGTGAGACTTCGTTCCAGAAGCGTGCTGCATCTCGTTAACCTCTTGTTTTACTTAGTCTCTCTTATGCTGTAATTAAAAAACAAACACGAAAACAAGAACTCTCCACACACATACAGGACTGAACCAAAGAGAAGTTCTACGTGGAAAGACAATTTGATTTTTCTAAGAATGATAGGACTATAGCTGGTGTAGCTTCCTAAGATGGAAAATTTTTTAAAGCAGCGGTCCTCAATGCTGCATCATTCATTCATATTTCTATACTTGCATATATCCTACTAAAAACTCCTTTGGAAGTTTTTGTTCATGTGGGGAAGACTTCTGGGAATTTATCCTAAGGATATTCTTGCTTACATACATGTCAGGTTATTCATTACAGGATTGTTTTTAATAAATAGCAAAGACTGGAAGCAACTCAGAAGTCCATCAGTGGGAGAATGGTTAAATAAACTACGGCACATCCTGCATCATAAGGCTGGGCAGCTGTTTAAAAGAAGGAGGAAGCTCTGTCAGTGCTGATAGGAACGATTTCCAAGATTCACTGCTCAAAGAAAGGC